ACAACGCACATACAGGTGTGTTGCTTTTTGACACATAGATGTGTCCAGTGACCCAGTTTCCTTGATTGTTGTAGAAAGATTTTCTAACTTGTTCAGGGGCTGGCTAGTGAGTATGCATTCATTTTTGCTTAGCGTTGAAGCAGCATTCTGCTGCCTGGTGCTATTTGTTGTAGTCGACAATTATACTTCTAGCCTTTGGAAAAGACATCATTTCTGACTAAAAATAGTCCCGTCCGGCCCCGCCCCCTTTTTTTTCTGCGGCTTTCTGAAATTGTGTAGTTTTGTCTGCGGCACCCGATGTCATTCTGGCCACCGTTGATCTATCAGATTATTTGGTCGTTGCCTTGATTCAGATATTTGCCCCATAAAAGTATGTGCACTGATTTAATGAACCCTGGGCCTCACAGAGCGTGCTTGATTTAATTGTGCCTGGATCAACATTACAGAAGAGCAATTTTCTGTGGATAATCAACATTAAAGGGCTACCACATCGGAGCCTGCAGTCAATTTTTTTCCCCATTATGTTACTTTTTCAGCTGATACCCGTTAGCGCTGCTACATTGTAGCCCAGCATTGTCTGGGAAAGAAAGACGATTGCTTTTGTACGTCTCTTGATTAAACACCCCGACACGACTAGATCCACCCAACCGCCGATCTGGCGCCTGTGTCGTTTGCTCTGCTATCACGAATAGAAATAAGGCAGTGGCTATTCTCCCGGCAGGCGGAAGAATAGACACTACCTAGAAATATCTTGCGAACCACACGCACCTTGTCGGACGAAGAGGTTCCCAATGCTGAAGCCTTGTTAGAGGATCCTGGACTTCGGTCACGTCCGACTTTCTGAATAAAAAAAAATATCGCATTTCACAATCTGCGCGAACATCGGGCGAATTCAGGCGGTTACCTTTACTTTTAGTGGCGGCACGTAGTTCGTTCTTTGCAAAAGTCGTCGTGGAACTACAACGTGAAAATAATAACAACCGAAAAGTTAAACCTTACAACAGCGATTCCTACAAAAAAAACTTGTACCCACCTTGCGATCGTAGCCCATGTTGAACGACGCAGAGCGTTGATCTCGGTGCGCGTTCCATTCGCGAAAGGTTGTGAGCACACTCGAGAGCTTGACGTGAGGGAGAAGTCTTTCCGATTTACTGCAGCGACCCATTGCCGCCGGAGATCGGGGTCAAGCGGAAAGCGATGCATCTTAAAAACATTGCAGCCGCACTCGCCTTGCCGGATTCCATGCAAGCTGCATAGGTCCTCGGACACTCTTCGACGCTTCCTGTCACTATTAGTGCACCCTATGACCGAGCTATGCTGTCCCGTTGACCGGGGGACTCTCTCCATCGAAGCCCGTGGCTCTAATTAAGTTTGAGATTCTAAAACAGAAGAGAAATCGCGGGACGAAGCTCGGGCACTGCGTAGACCCAACACCGGCCAAGCCTCTCATCCGGGACTTTCAGTCTTTCTACACAATCAGAAAGGGGGAAAGCGCCGGTAGCCCTTTCCCCTTTTCTCTCTCGCTCTCAAAATGGCGCTACCCACGATAAAACGGTCTATAGCGCGCTTTGTTTTATGGGTGTCAGGGCCGGAATGTCCTGCCACGAGCAAAACAAATGATTGTGTCACGTTTGGCGAACTATTTTTTCTTTAAACTGCAAAGTTCCAACCTTCCTCTGAAGGCCTGGCTAAATGATAAGGGGATTTTTGTACCATGGACGATCAACTGTTTGTTGTGCAAGCAAACTGAAACGGTTGACCATAGATATATATATATATAATTTTTTTTTTTTTTTGGAGGGGGGGGGGGGGGAGGGGGGGATGCCCATTTCATCTGGGACATGCGACAGCGAACTTTCAAAAATATTTCTTTATCACTCCTCACCCAATCCGGTTCCTAGATATTTAGAACGAAATCTTTGTGCCCTATCACATATTTCTTTTGGAACTGTTTGTACCTGGAAATCGCGGATGGCACTCAGGAATGGAGAACCTGATGCCAAAAAAGTGTACTTGTATTTTTTTCAACTTGTCGCTAAGGTTGAAAATGTTTACAGTTCATTAACACCTTCAAGTGAACGGGAAGCGGCGGTTAATGTGATGAAAGGCATGTACCGATTTTAATCAAAACCCCCTGGAAAATGCTCAAAAGGGTCTTTCTTTAGTAAAACAATAGTGACAGCGCATTGTGTGGGTTCATTGCGTTGCTTATCCCATAAAATAAGAAAAATGCACCCGTGACCGATTGGTTTCCCTTCGTGGCTCCCTCGCAACGAGCCGAGGTTCGATGACTAAAACCGTACACACCTTTTTGTTACTTCGGTAAATGTCCCAAATTCGAGAATCCCGCTGCTTATTCCAAGTCTGAACGTTCTACACGCCGAACCTTCTATGCCGATTGTTTCAGAAGCCCACACCTGTACGTAAAGAGCAACGCGTAGCAAGCCAAAGTCAGTCCCGCCCCAGTGCTTGATTCTGCTGTTACGTCGACATCGACGCTCGCGACGCTAACCTTCTTCATTTTTTTTTTGTCAGAAGTTTCCTTTATCAAACGTTTAGTCTCTTTCAGTCCTCTGTCAACTTATCAATTTTTATTCCTGACAATATGCACGTGGTCATAGCTTTCACCACATTGAACCACGAGAATATTAAATTATTGGAGAAAATAGTTGAAACTGAACTCTTTAAAACCCTTGAGAAACGGCAGCCGGTGTTTCGCGAAAAAAACTTAGCTTCAGGGACTAAGCGGCTTCTTGTTTCAGCAAAACATTCAAAACAGAGAGGCTTCATCGAGGTTTTTTTTTCAAAACAGAGCTCAGGCGAAATTTCGATGGTCATTGATTTGCCTCAAAAAGGGGGGGGTAGACATCTGATCCAGCAAAGTTACTGAATTTTTAAATTTGTTCTGGAAGGCTGCGTGGCCACTTGCAAAACTGAAAATGTTACGTCAAGTGTTGAAATATGGGGATTGTACATTTCGTTCACGACAGGTTTTAAGAAGTTTGATGGTGTGAAATAAGTAATAAAACTATAGTGTCAGGAAAATGATCGCTCAAAATATTCTGTTTTTAGCTGCCTGCAGGAGTTACAAGTTTGAAAGTTTTTGTCCTTTTATCAATCACAATTTCGACTTTGGGGGCGATAAATATCTGTCCGGTGCTAATAAACCCTGGGTATTTCAAAAATGTGTCTAGTTTGGGTAGAAAAATTTACCAAATCACGATCTTTGTTGTTGACGGTGGTTTCGTAAACCTTAGATAACGTTCTCTAATCTCTACAGAACCAGTCGCAGGCATTACCTATAATGATGTTGCATTACGTTTGCTTTGCCCGGTGCTCACGGGGAGTCGCCGGCACTGTGAAGCACGCGGTGTAGTGGCGCCATCTAGCATTTGGAATGAAAAGCGCTGAGCAGGTGGCGGAAGCCGCCGTCTGATTCAAACAGTGCAGCACTGCCGATTTTTACATCCTTTGTGTAATGTGTAATGTGTTGTTCCTGGGTGACTAACGTTGCTAGAAGGAATGCTGATAAAATCAACTCCCCTCCGTTTAATTAAAGGACGGGTTAACGTGCTTTAGGTGGTATTCTGAAGGTAGAATCAGTCAGGTCATCCTGTCCCTGTGCGATACGCGCAGTGTCGAAGCTTCAAGGGCGAGGACGTCAAGCATTTACCCAGGCTTACTATCGCGGATAATATGAGCTAAAACTACCCTTCTTGATTATTTCCTTCCATCTTGTTTTGTGGCTAGCTGTGATCCAAGCTATGAATGGAAAGTAAAATTGAGGTCTCAAACCTTAGAATATTTTATAAACAAAAGATTAATTTTACTTTTGGGACCACGGGCAGACCAAAAAGGCTAGATTGGGTGTTTCAGTTCATAATATTCGCGGAGGTACATGCTACTAAAATCAATCCGGTACTCTTCTTTTGTTATTGTAATCATACAGACACCATTCGCTGCTCGTTACCCGTTACTTTGCACTAAAAGTAAAATATAAAAAAAGTTTTTGCCACAAAGCTACCGAAACGGCGCGCTAGCCCACGTCGACATTACAATAAAAATGATGTTTATATAGTACAACAAAAACCTAAAGGTCAACCGAAGAAATATTGTTGTATTGGATAGTTCTCAAGCTTTCGATACACCGATATGAGGAACAGTAAAATAAAATGCATGTTTGTAGTAAAAAGCGCCGTTATTGGCTGCCCATCTTCATTGACTCTTGTCCTATTTTTTTTAATATTTTTTAATTCTTCATTTGACACGTTGACGAAGATTATTTCTAAAGAAAACGCTGGTGGTTGACGTGGTTCTTTGAATATGTAACTACATATTGTTGCTTTTTACTCGATCTAAAGTTAATCAAAATAGCCGCCCGTTCCACCTCGCTAGAGGTGCAAATTTGACAATTCCTAATTAGAAAAATGCTAACAAGTTTCAAGTCGCACTTTTTTTTTTCCAACAAATTACCTGCATGTTGGTTTTCGGCGAAATGAATTTAGTATGTTGATTAAGTTTTGCACGGTGGTCACGTCTGCTTGTTGCTCACATCAGGGTCAGTGATCAACCCACACTTAATATAGATATGAATATTTTATACCCAGGTTTTTCTCGCGGGTGCCGACATTTTGTTGCGTAGTACAAAGCGGGTTTAATTAGTGTTATTGATGATTCTAAGACCCGATTTCTTTATCTTTAGGTACGGTGTCAGAAAGTTCGGACGATATTGACTTCCTCTGTTACAATTTTTTTTCTACAGGACCAAAAAAACCTTCCTCGCAATTTCAGATAAAGCTTTTGATAACTCGCATCAATGGTTTTAAGCAACAAAATGTATTTATGCAATACCACTTAGGCTAGGGGGCCCAGGCTACCGCCCGTTATAAAGGGCGCAGGGGTTAGCATGCACCTGTCCATCCTGTGGCTAAAGTATGGTTGGTGTAAAGCGCAGCTGCTTTTGGTGGTCCTATAGTTGGCGTGAACTGCCCCTCCTCCAGGTTTGCGACTGGACACGGCAGCCATCGACAAACCGCGAGTGCAGTTTCGTTCGGAACGGATCCACTCTAGCGGCTTTCGAAGGCCCAGAGGCGCTGCAGCACAAGCTGGCTCGAATGGCACTCGACGGACACGGAAGGCTCTGCATCGCTGTCATGGACACTCACATGGACGACGCCCTCGGGACCTGCGGAGGACCCATGAGTCCGCTGCTCAAGAGACTGTATGAAGACCCGTTGGACGCCTGACTGGGCGGGCGGCTCCCGTGGCGTGCTCGAACCTTTTTGTCACGAAGATGACTTATGATATTGGTTTTGATATTTTTTGGGGGAGTCAAGTTTGACGGAATGCCTGATGTGGTTAATGGATGATCCTCACCGTTTAACCCCGTGATAGATGCGAAGCTTTTGATTTAGTGTGTATAGTTGAGGCATTAGATTTTAGGGTGGATTCATCAACGGCATTGTCACGGTAGTTGGTGATCGTGTCACTGTTTACTGATTTATATGTAAAGAACGTATTCTATAGACGTGTGTGTAAAGAGCGCGTTCAATATGTGTGTATCCGAGTATGTGAGCTCTATTACATTGTTTAGATTGGTTGGTTGAGTGGTGTCACGTTGGAAATAAACTGCGCTATGATCATGCAGGGTTAATCATCACGGTCAATTCTTCACTGACAACATTAATTTCCTCGCTTAATCTGCATCATGTGAATAACATACACATTAGTGAAGAGTTTTTTTGTACCAAAATAATCGTATATAGAGGCGATCAGTAGGTGTAAAAATGAAACTTTTATTTACAAGAAAGCGAAGATGAGACGTACCACAGATCACAGCTCTTGTTTGACTCGACGGATGGGGTGGGTAGAGCGGAGAGGTCGTTTAACACAACCAGACGACGTGGCAGGTTGTTTTTCAGATCATGCACCATGGTCCCACCTAGCAGCACCTTGTTAAGAGCGTCACCTGGTGAACTTCGAAGACGGATCCGGAGACACTAGCCTAACAGGGACATGGCGTCAACAATTATGCATGGCTTTCCACTGTACCTTCTGTGGCATACAATTTGCACCATTTAATTTCTCCTTCCCGGCATGGAGGAGTAGGAGTCATTACCAGCATCGTGCAATGACGTCAATGCAAGCCACGTATGCGATGATAACCGGTTAAGATAAATGTACGCCGACAGCTTTGAAATTTCGGTATTGAAGAGTTCGGAAATGATAACCCAGCCTATCATAGCTAGATTATCACTCGACGTATTTAACATTGACGCTGGCTCCCGGTCAAACTAGAGAGTCGCGACACAAGTGACCAGATGACGTGACTCGAAGAGTACCCAGACCTGCTCCAGCCACACTTTAACCACGTCGCCTGCGCGCGGCCTTGTAGTCCCGTGTGTCAACCTCCCCTGACCAGCCTCTCGTTCTTGGGGTTCACCCTGATCGGCCTCTTTGTAGTGCGCGTGCGCACGCCTTCCTTCTCGTGCGCCCTCCTTGACTTTCGATTCCCGCCAGTAGCTGGCGCTGGGATTCCCTTCTTGTTGTCGACGCCGTTGCACTTGTCGGTCCCCTTGTGAGGGGGTCGCTTCTTCTTCTCTTCGTCGTCGACGCTGGGGACGTTCTTGAGAACCGGAGTGATCTCCTCAATGAAAGGGGGACCGTGATGGCCGCCTGGACCATCGGGGTTCGGGTCGAAGGGCACGCCTTGTGGAGGATACCCTCCAGGGTACCCAGGCCCCACCGGAACCAGAACTACAGGTGGCTGAGGTTGGCCGGGATGGTACACGGGTCTGCATGGGAAGAAGAAAAAAAACAATCTCAACACAGAAACTCTGCAAAAGTAGAATTCAAAACGTATGCGAGTTTTGATGGCTTCTTAATGTTACAAGTTGATTCAAAACGTTTATTGCTAATATATAAGTTCACTTCGGTGGGGTTCGAGTTTTTGGCAAAATCACCAAAGTTTTTTTTTTTTTTTTTTTAATTTAATGAATTGCAATGTTTCAGCCCCTTGCATCCTCTCTATTCGCCCTTTTTATGTTTCGCAACAAACTCAGTGGCGCCATCTATTGGGTTGTCCTGGCACTCGGGTGGTCCGGGAGTATTTTCAAACTTTTTAGGCATTATAGTTCAGCATAAGTCTGAAATATGTGAGAGTGGCATAAGCGATTACTTTCCGAAAATAGCGTGTAGAATCGCACTCTGAATTACTATAAAATCCGGCATCTAGTTCAGAACCGGAAGTGTGTGATGATACTTGCACACTCCACCACCACGTTTCAACTCACTCGAGAAAGAGAGAGTACACGATGTCGGCAAGGAAGTTAACATTTGAGTCATGCTTACACGTAACCAATATTTATTTATTTTCACAAATTTATGCTCCACTGGCTCGAGCCATTATGAACCACGATCTTGCATAAGAAAAAAAAAAATCTAAAAGTGAGTTCCTAGACAGAACGAATAGAAGCAAATTTATTGCTTGAGGATGATGCAGCTGCTCAGACCAAGTATGAACCAATATTAGCCTTGTAAAAGCATATTAAAAGAGCGATATTTGATTATCTTAGTGATCGCAAGTTGAACTCGTCTATAGTTCCTTTCATTTCACTCAAGAATGGTTTACGCGAGTCTAGGAGACATATTACATAATCTTTAGTGTTCTCAAATCCGCAGGTTGAGCTATGGGCAGATCCCAGCAGTCATGCCCTGATTCCACTCGTACTACAAACTTGAAAAGAAACATAAGGCATTCATTTACTATTTTAAAGTTTCCCGCTTGGGCTGCTTATACTGCAACAAGCTGTTTACAAACACTACCACGTTTGCCCAGAAAAGGTGTGGACATTGCGTGTGCGCAGGAGCACTGTTAGACATATGAAGCATTTGAAGTGCAGCCAGCCATTGCCCCACCCCAGTGGCGTGGCATCAGAGGGTTCAGTTGGTGCATGGACCCTTTGGAAATGTATATACTGATTCCCAGAACATCAGCCTGTTTAGACTTGTTCAGAGCGACCAGCATCCCAGGGTGTGGAACTCCTCTAGATGAATTGGCAGCATTTATGTTGCCACTTTGAAAGGGTACCCTAGTATTCGCGATATCCTATGCATTTCTAAAGATAAAAATGCATAGCAGATTTTTTAAGAGAACCTATTTAAACAATTGCCTCTGAGTTTCGATGGCATACTCACGGGCCTCCCCCTACACCTCCCGGTGGGTACTGGTGCACCACGACTGGTGGCTGCCCCGGTGCTCCAGGATAAGGCTGCCCGTATCCAGGCTGGTGGTGGTACGTCACCAGTGTTGGCCTCTGCACGATCACGTTGGCCAGGATGCAATTCGCCACTGCAAGCAGCGCCTGTGGAATAAAATAAAAGAGGTGCTTTTAAGAAAACGCCGTTCTCCGCTTAGTCTGGGGGACTTCCATCGTCGATGTCTTTAACACTGCATGTAAGCATGCAAGTAGCACCGAAATTGTAGCTTTTACATAGTTTCCTTTTTAATCGGCCAATCAGCCCGCACTCTTTTGCGCAAGCACACACCATGCACAAATCAGAGCAACTACTTGATCCGCAGCTAATTTTAAAGGTGCATACGATCTAGCTATTGTTATGATCACGTGAGTGGAGCACATTGTGGTATACGAGCACCAATCATTTGAGTTGTGTCTACGGGAAGATAGTCAATCTCCAGCAAATGTCTGGAGTCTCAGCTGTTTCTGACATATTTAGAAAGTGCAGTATAATTACTAGTTTGGGGTCATTACCGTGCGTCTAGCAGCAGTGATACACGACCACACTCCGCTTCCGCGATCATCCAGACAAAGACGGCGGATGAGAAACCGAGGATCCATGTTTTCGCGGCAACAATGGATAACAGCGATTTCTACTTCTTATTTTAAGTGCTCGTGCAGCTGAGAAATTTTGAAATGAAAAAAAGCTCGAGTTTATAGTTTTGCTACGATTATCGTAAAGGTAAACCCCCTCTGTGTCCCATCTGCCACAACTATTTCACGGCATTCCACCGGGTTCGTTCCACTGCCAGACACCCAAGTCATGCCGCGAAGCTCACGTTCGGAACGGCATTGCGTCGCATGGATTTACTAATATGATCTTCGGGCTTGCAAACGTGTATGAACTAGATACGCATCAAATTTGGATTACAAAAGGCACTCGCTCCTAAAACTATATCACCCAATGTTATGATCGAAAGCTGATCGGAAAAGTAATTCGAGCTGGAACACATTACCACCGTTTTTACTGCACTCGCCACGTATAAACTAGCGAGAAGAATCGGCTCTACATATTATAAACTTGTGAAGCAATTCTATGTGTTAGCATACGATCACTGCTTCCCAAATATCCATTAGCGTCCTAGCCGCAAAGAAACGTGTTTGCAAATTTATCACACAGGCAGAGTTTGGCATTTGCAACAATCGCGTGTCATTTTTTTTTTTTTTTTTTTTTTTTTTTTAGGGGGGTGGGGGTTTTGTATACAGCGCCAATTTGCTCAGTTTTATGGCACTTTCCAGCGCTTGGAAGCGCTTGTTTAAGAATTGGTTTTATGGTTCCGTAAATTTCTGCTTAAATACGCGAGCTTGATTAATAAAGACGTTTGAAATGAGAGTTTCTTTGTTGCGTTATCAGTGCATGTTATTTAGAAAATTTATTCCTAAATGTAGATTTTGTACGCACTTCCTTTAGTTTAACATTGTATTTTGTGCGGCTTCCATGTCGCCATAAAAAGCACTAGCTTAAGCTCTGATTACATTTGGAGGCACTTCGTGGCAAAACATGAATGGGGACAATTATCTCCGAGGGACTTAATCCTTTCTTTAATTTCATTACTTAATTTCATTAATTTCATTACATTGTTTACATTATCAACTTGACTGTAGCCGCTGTGTTGAGGGAATTCTTTTTAATTTGTATTCAATGGAAAAAATTACCAGTCCCTATTTTAGTCCTATCAAAGTAGTCACGCGATTTATAATTACCCCAGATCGATGGCAAATAAAATAATGCATCGTTATGATAACAATTTGGTGTCATTCCCAAAATGTTACACGCCTATCCTGAATAATGAGTAGGTCAATCGAGTTGAGCAAAGTTTGTTTTCGGAAATGTCTACGTTATTAAAAAGTTTGATCTGCTATAACATTATATACACAAGAGAATATTCCCCTCCGGGACGCGTGGGTTTCCTTCCGTCGTGCTTTGACTGCAATTACTTACGGAACGCCGATCTGTTTCCGAAGTTAAGACACCTTGCTCTGGCGTCGGAACTGGTACTGCAGATTGTACGTTGAAACAAACTCTAGTATTAAACGTCATTAGATTTCTAAACTTAGTTATAGTCATTGACATTTTCAGAAACAAAAGGGGCAACTTTTAGTCTTCATGCTCCATTCTTCGTGATGCGTTCTTCGGCGTTCTTTTTCGCAAAAAGCAGTAATCTCATTGGCTACGTAACGGTAAGATTCTCGGCACCCACTCCTCGCCCTGCATTTCTTAAACTCTCAGTAACGTATAATTTATACCCGCTATCATGGCCCCAAAACTCACCAATATCGTTTTCGTCGTCGAAGCGCACGCCATGTTTAAAGCAAGTGCTGCTCGTCGCGCATCCACCGGGGAACGAGAAGGTTTTTTTGAGTACCAGCTCCGAGAGGCCACCCTCTTTTATTCGCGTGGCGAACCGCACTGAGCGAGGAGGGACGGACAGGCGGGAGAGGGGGAAAGAACGTTACCTCCTCACTCATAGAGGAAACGAGCGCCGGCGGAAAACACAGCAATGGTGGCGGCGCCCGAGCAAGCGGCCTTCAATGTCGCCCCGCATGTGGTCACCGCGAGGCGACGAACCGTCGGAAAGGCCTCAGCGCGTCAAGCTTTACTTTCTCATCGTCATTCTCTAGATCTCTTTTCTATACTCTCCGTAACTTTACAATGGACAGCGGGGCACACTACGAGCCATCTTAGCCATTCGGGAACATAGAGCTTGCCGCGTGACCTATTTCACGACGGGTCGCTGGTCCTAGAGCTACTAACTAATATCCGCTTACAATATCCGCAACATATCTCTATCTTTTTTTTTTCTTTTTTTTTTTCCGGTTGTCGTTATGATTGGTCTTGAACGCGGAGCGGGCACAATTGGCAAGAGTTACAATCCGAAAACGTGACTTTCTGAGCTCAAGGAAAAAAACTAAAACTCCCTAGAAGCTGAGGCGTTATTGCATTATCCTGTAGGTGATCGTTTAACTTCTTCTGGACGCCTCACAGCCATTTCCTTTGATTTCAAATAAAGGTCGAGATAACCGGTAACCATGATTTTAGGCACGACGGCGGCTCAAGTGCGGTCACTCTAAACTTGGCTTATATTACTGGGTCTAGCTGCTTACAGCACGCATTTCAGGCGATTGTATACCCAGGATTAGTCAGGAGACACATTAGACGTGCCGACAACTAACATGCTACCACTCCACGCGCCGCTTTAATACAAAGTAAAGTAAAAAAAAGGTAAGAGAAAAACGTCGATATTATTTTGGTCTTGTCTACGTTACTGGAGAAAGTGATAGATTACATTTGCGGTTGCCCTTGGTGTATAATTGTTCAATAATATTACCTGAATACTAGACAGGAAAAGTATTTTGCCTTTACTCAAAGACATAAGGGCCACTTTTGCGATTACTGCAGATTTTCAAGACGGCAGATTTCTAAACCAATTCGAAAACGGTGGGGTTTTCGTGTCAGATTAGAATGACCTATCAGACTATTTCCACCGAATTATAAACTACTTATATTCTTCATCCGCTAAGTTTAGGGGACTGTCCTTCTGTCCGAGACAGGGAAATAATAAAAAAATGATCAAATTACTTTAAAAAATAATCAAACTCTTACAAAAAAATACAATTTCCTTAAATGTCGGAACGTTTCCTAAAGGTTCGAAAGGGTTGAGGGGAAATGTTAGCGGTTATAAGTAACTAAAATACTTTCAAAAATATTCAGATTTCTCTTATGATTACTTTCGTAATGAATGTAATGAATTCGTCCCAAAATTACTTAAAGAAGTAAATGATTAACAAAGAAGCTGATTACTTGTAACGACTACCTTACAAGTCACTGAGAGCTTAAGAGAAACAGGGTTTGGCGAGTTTTCATAAACTAACTGCTGCCCAGCAAGCCGATCAGATTAGGGAATTATTAACCATTGGAAATGCGCGCAGAATAAAATCACAACGCACGCCGCGTGAACATATTCAAAGTCGTGGGATACTTAAGTTGCCAGTTACAAAACTGAGAGCGCGTAGTGTTCCAAAATTCGTCTTCGGCGCATTTGTATGCAAGAGGCAGCACTCCACTCTAGTAATAACATTAAGAAGGTGCAGGGAATATGCGATGACTAGAGCCCCTCTATCCTGCGAAGAGTGACGCCATTAAATGTTGTGGAAATGCTCGAGACACGTGCCGCGCGCTACTCCTTGGAAAAACGGGGAGTCTGAAATCTAGCTTAGTGCTGCACTGTGCCGCCATCATCCATAACGTCTGCACCTTGCACGTGCCTCTCTCACCAACGCACCTTGCGCTACTTCTAAAACATGAAGGTGCTTTAGCGATGACCAGGCAGCCAAACGCTCGTCGTCGTACTTTGAGGTTTCGGGGTAAACAAAAGAACGTGGGCACATTCTGCGGGTGAACAGAATCTCGAGATGCATAAGGAGCCGACGAACGTGCAGCCGTTATTTGGAGGTCAGTGATCCTAAACTACTCAAAGACAATGTTGGATTTGAAGGTTTGCGAAGCGCGCCGACTGAACGCCGGCGACAAAAGCGCGAAGTCATCGTCGTGATAGTAGAATCGGAGCGCTCCGAGAACTTTGGCCTAAACTTTGTGTTTGACGAGTTTAGAACCCGAAGTCGTCTGCTTCTTGCGTAGGGGTGGCGGTGACGCCAATACTACACCGATTTCTGATTGGCGTTGATTGCAAGGAAGGAGGCTAGACCTCAGTGCTAAATGATTTAAGGTCTACGCGCTACTTTTTTATTTTGTATCAGCCAATGGGAGTTTGGCGTTCTGACATCCTCTCAAGCCCATGTGCGAAAAGCAGACTAACTCGAGCTCCGCGCAAGAGCTATTGCTTTTTGGCTCATTTGCTGTCTTTTGTTGAGGTTTGAGATATTTTGTGTTGTGTATTGCGCAAAGTGGGAAGGAGGCAAGGCCTCGTGCAGCTATTAGTATGGCAGGTTTTTTCCTCTCTTTTTTATGTGGCATCCAGTGAGGATAGGAAATAAAGCCTGCTATTATTATTATTCAAAATAGTTTTTGCAGTAGTAGCAGTATTACGGAGTAGTAGAAATCGTACCATTAAAATAATGTGATTATTTTCTGTATAAATATTTATTATTGCAGTGTGACGGTACGACTACCAATTGGTAGTTCCTGGACACTCTAATAAACACCGATAGGGTGATGGTTACGTGAACTCGGTGCCGGATTGACAGGAACGGCTCATGTATACCTCCTATAACTCCGTTTGAGGAGAAATGGAGTTCTTACTCGACGCGTCTTCTCTCACACGTGGTCGGGCCCATCGGGGAAACTCCCGTGACCGTTCGTTGCGAACTTGAGGAGGAACTCCAAAATTCTCCTCGCCGGAACGAGAGTGAAACCTACTTTTGTATATGTGTGTGTATCAAGGTCTTATGGAGGAGCGCATTAACATGCTTCCCACGGATCTGTGCTGGCTCGGCGACCTGGTCTGGCCTATTGTACAGAGAGTTATGCTAAACGGAAAAAGTAGAAGGCGAAAGATAGCATCTCCTCGGTGACGACGGCGTTTCTGCTCTGCTGTGCGTTCTCTTTGGCTCACGCTTTGAAATCTGCGTGGGGGGCTTTACGGCTGGACGCGTCAGCTGGGTTTGTACGCGGCTGTGTTGCTCGAGGGCTGTAAAGTTTTGAATCGGTAGTGTTTCACGTGTTGGTCTTTTTTCGGATTCGAGTTCGCTGACACTTCGGCAGCTAAAAGATCAGATTAAAAAAAAAAAAGATATAAATAACTTTTATTAACAGTACAATAAAACACCATACAAATACCTGCGATATATTCTTTGTCTTTTTAATTGAGAAATACGCACCACCCAATTTGATGTCTGGCCATTTTTTTTATTATACTTTGCTGAGTAACATCACTCATAATGACAGTTTTCCTCCACTTGTCTTTAATCATTTGGAAAAAAAAAGTTTCAACTAAATGTATAGTTCGCAATTTAAATAAAGCTTATTTTGTTAGTTCTCTCAGCATAATATGTGTATGGAAAATGGGATACTGTCTTTTAACACTTCAAATTGAAAATTCCAGTGACAAAAATACGAAATTTGTAGAATTTTATTCAGGTGTCTTTCATAAGCTAATGTGAATTATGGGTAATAAAAAAAGGTGCATATGGATATTTACTCAATTCGCCTTTTACAGAGTCAAGCACAGAAGTTTGTATTTTTAGTAAATTGCACTTGGATTTATTATCTCCCGTTTATTACTTACAAAACTAGTATCAAGTGTAATTTTGTAAGCCGCATGAGAGTTCCAATAAAATTACAAAAAACACACGAAGCCACTTCCTCTACTCGCCGCCAAGGGGGATTGGTGGCCGAGTGGGCTAGCGAACGCCAGCTCGAAGTACGTGGAGCGAAAGCTCTCTCTGTGAAACTCAGGGATTCTTGGTTCAATCGCCACCCCGGTCCATTTTGATCTGAATGAGTGTCGTACCGGCGCACACTTGTGTATCAATACTGGCGTGGTGCACTGTACTGCGTGATGCACCAGGCTAGCGGTTCAAACACACTGGCTAAATTGCTCATCTACAGCTGAGAGACAAGTCGCCCGTTGAGGCACTTAGCTCTTAGATGTCTAAGCATACACACACCCCAATTGTTTTTACTCGCAGCCAGAACAAGTGTCCATATGTTTAGGTGCATTCTGTATCTCGTTTTTATTCATTACAGCCACGCGCTGCGAATGGTAAAACAAAACGTTTGTGTTCATTTCCAAATAATCTGACTCATTATTTCAGGGACTGAAACAGAGTTAAAACCCGAGTGTTCATTGAGGCATTGATTATCACGAGCCGAAGCCGAGTGCTCCAGTAGTGCTTCTGTGCATTCCACCAACAGCATTCTAATGTGGTCACAAAGAGGCAATCTTTGCGACTACGTCACCCTTGCGATCTCTGCGGCTGCAACATCAAGCATTGCGATTGATAGACTTAAATAAAATATTATTTTTATGCTTGAAAATTCACTGCGGAAAAAAACCTTTGGCATCAGTTGCGTTGCTTGCGACTAAATTTTGGTCGAAGCATGCATCATCTCACACAAAAATAAACTAACCATGAAAGCTAAAAGTGCCAAAGGATTGCTTTGTTCAGTGATTCTTCTGCAGGAGGGCCTTTAGAACCGAAGACATGCGGCCAACCCTTCGAAAGCCAACTCGTCGACGGCCAACTCGTCGATGTTCTATCCCCCGAAAAGGTCAAGTCTGAATATGCCAATTCATCGCAGCGAAACTTGTCGCAAGAGACAATCTGTCGAGAAATGATTAGTCGAATGGAAAGTATTACGATCGGATGTAAGCTTTCGTGGTTTCTTGTTATCGTTTGACCTAACTTTGAATTTATGTTTAGACTAGGCACAGCACCCTTGTAAGGTTAAG